AGCTAATAATAACGAAAATACAACTATAAACGATAGAGGTGGGTCCAAGAACTGAAGCCCGACACTATTTATAATACCATACACTCCTAATTTACAACACAGACTCAGCCCCGCTCCTGTGCCAGGTAAGTCCACTACGGGCTCACCATAGCCCGTGCTACTTGCCCCGCTCCTGTGCCAGGTAAGTCCACTACGGGGTCACCATAGCCCGTGCTACTTGGAACTTGTTCTGAGTAGTTGAATCTATAACAACAACATCCTAAGTTACATATTACCCGAAGATGGACCTCCTCTATCACGATTTTAGTCTTGAAAGAAGGACCACATAGCAACGGTATTTTTCAGGTCCATCCCCGATGCAAAATCCAATAAAATTCACAGCATAGCGATGATTTTTTAACACCAAAAGATACCCAGGGGCCAGATTCACGAAAGTACTTACACAAACACTTACGAACGTGTACATCTTTTCTCAGTCTTTGGCGGCTTTGTTTCTAGTTATTAAACAGTTAATGAGTTCCGAAGCACCAGGAGGCTGTTTATAACAATAACAACAGTTGAATGGGAACTTTTCATGCTTGTAAACTATTTAATAAATGTAACCAAAGTCGGAAAGATGTACACGTTCGTAAGTGCTTGCGTAACTGCTTCGTGAATCTGGCTCCAGACCTATACGCAGATTAAATTGCCAAGATAATCCTTTATAGAAATTCCCTGATATATAGTATATGTATCTTGAGAGTTTATGTATTTAGTATTTCTTCCTAGATAAATAAACTTTATTAACTTCCCCCCATTCCTTTTCCCCCATCCCATCCCAAATCCTTTTCCTTACCCCTTCCAAGTGCTATATAGTCGTAATGGCTTGGTGCTTTTATCCCCCTGATAGTTCCCTTCCCTTCGACACAGTGCTGTATCTTAACTTTAATGCCTTTTTTTCATATAAAATTAATGTATTATCTTTTGTCAAGTTAACCTGAAGGAATCGCTGTCCAACTTCAGTGACGCCGTCGGTATTTCCTCCAGGGTGAACAGTCTCCGTGGTGTAGTGGTAAGACACTCGCCTGGCGTTCCGCGAGCGCTATGTCATGGGTTCGTATCCTGGCCGGGGAGGATTTACTGGGCACAATTCCTTAACTGTAGCCTCTGTTTAACGCAACAGTAAAATGTGTACTTGGATGAAAAAACGATTCTTCGCGGCAGGGGATCGTATTCCAGGGACCATAGGATTAAGGACTTGCCCGAAACGCTACGCGTACTAGTGGCTGTACAAGAATGTAACAACTCTTGTATATATCTCAAAAAAAAAAAAAAAAAAAAAGGTGGACAGAGATATGAAGCGAGAGGGTGAAGGTAGTGGGGCGGGTGATATATATGACCACACAAATATATGAATATATATCATATATATATGATATATATGATATATATTTGTCAAGGTGCTCACAACACGGGAGACATCTCCCGTCACGCAGGGTGCAGTCGCACCTCCACAGATCTCCAGTATCAGCTCTTGATACTGGTAATGGCTCAAAAGGGCCACACCACTTACGGGCTATTCATGCCCGTGCCACCTTTTGGGTGGCTTAATCTTTAATCTTTATCAATCGGTGCTCACAAGGTTGGGTGTCTCGCGTGATGAATGCTCCACATCACAAATAATCCACACCGCCACCCTATTCTGCATAGTAACCCTTCCTACCCCTAACCCTTACCTGCCCCCATTAAAATGCTCACTCAACCCTCCCTCCTCCCCCCTCACCCCATTCCCAGCCTGTCTCCCCCCCATCCCCACTCCCACTTTTTTTTGTTTGAAGAGGAAGGAGAGGCATAGGTGAAGGGAAGTATAGAAGTGGGAAATACAGTGAGAGGTATGAAAGCAGGCGGGCTGTCCGCCTTGCTGACACGATGTGTGGGTGTTGGCAGCTAAGCTAAGCTGGCTCCCTCTTGTCAGGGAGCTGTGAGTGTGTGAGAGGTTCTTCACATGTGTTTCACCACATATGGATGTCCATAGATGAATACTGTGTAGCATTCATATATACACACTCCGATGCTTCCACACATGTTATTCTGTTTAAGGCTCTTTATTTTATTATTATTATTTTTCGAGTTGCTCATACATACACATATATACATACATATACTCACCCATATATATATATATATATATATATATATATATATATATATATATATATATATATATATTATGCATACATATATATATATATATTATGCATACACATATATACATATACATATACATATTATGCATACATATATATATATATTATGCATACACATATATACATATACATACACACACGTACATGCGTACATATTCCCATATACATATGCTTCCTATACACATACTCCATTTTTCAATTATGGGGGAAGGATATCTGGGTAGTATATCATCTGGGAATTATGTACTGTGGGACTGGGTTATCATCGAGTGAATCGAGGCCCCTCCCACCATGGCCGCCCCCCCCCCTCCCATACCCCTCCCTATCCCTCCTCCCCCCTCTCCCTGTATCCTCCATGTCACCCCTACCTCCTTACCCCATATGAGACGGCAGCCCGTCCTCCAAAAATGGGGTGGTAGGTAAGGAGGTAGGGATGACATGACATACCTGTCCCCCCACCCCTTCCCTTGAACCGCCACCACGCCAGAATCATCTGAGACCCTGTTAACCACCTCACAGATCGCCACACCTATTGAACAGCTTCCTCCGTCAGCAGAACGCTCACCAAGAAGGGTACAAGAGAATGGACAGAAGAAAGTGAGCTTCAAGGCAATGTACACTAACATAGATGGGATTACAAATAAAATAGGTGAACTTGGAGAATTGGTACTAGAAGAAAATCCAGACATAATAGCACTCACAGAAACATAGCTAACGAAAACTATAACAAATGCAGTGTTTCCACAGGACTACTATGCAGTGAGGAAGGAGAGAGAAGGAAGAGGAGTTTTTTCCAGGGGAAAAGGAGGTGGTGTAGCTCTGCTGATAAGAAGAGTCTGGAGTTTTGAAGAGATGGTTATTCAGGGTTGTTAAGATTTCAGTGAGTACATAACAGGTACCATAGCAATTGGAGGACAAAGAATTATAGTAGTAGTCATATATATAACCCCCCCTAACACCCCCACCAAATGACAGAAGACCCAGACAGGAATATGATAGAAACAGGGTCACCATCAATATAATAGAGTGAGCAGCTTCCGTGGCTAGCAGGAACGAATCCAGACTACTAATCATGGGAAACTTCAACCACGGGAATATAGATTGGGAGAACAGAGACCCACATGAAGGACCGGACAGGACGTGATGTAAAGTGTGGGTTATTAAGAAAAACGTGAAAGAAAAACGTGATGAAGAAAACGTGATGTAAAGTGTGGGTTATTATCCCATGTTACAATGTCTGTGAGACATTACCATTAGTTATGAGTATTATTATACTGAATATCCTACCCAGCTCCAGTCTCTAGTTCGAGGGACCTCAGTCAAACCACACCACAGTCTCCGTGGTGTAGTGGTAAGACACTCGCCTGGCGTTCCGCGAGAGCTATGTCATGGGTTCGTATCCTGGCCGGGGAGGATTTACTGGGCGCAATTCCTTAACTGTAGCCTCTGTTTAACGCAACAGTAAAATGTGTAATTGGATGAAAAAACGATTCTTCGCGGCAGGGGATCGTATTCCAGGGACCTGCCCGAAACGCTACGCGTACTAGTGGCTGTACAAGAATGTAACAACTCTTGTATATATCAAAAAAAAAAAAAAAAAAAAAAAAAAAATATATATATATATATATATATATATATATATATATATATATATATATATATATATATATATATATATATATATATATATATAAATAAGGGACAGTAGTAAATGCAGGGTAACTAAGCAAACTTGATTAATTCCCCCTTCCCCTGACTTTTGTTCCAGACATCCAGTGTTAAGCCCAAGTCAGTTCCGAGTCATTATTTTTTATTAAAACATTTAGGTACATCTGCATTTGTGCAGTTACCCTAGACTATGTGAAGGGGAGTACAGTGTGTCAAAAAACTAACTACGTGATGCTTAAAATCCCCATCACACAGGATGGTTAGTGATACAGAGGCATGTGATCAGTCGTCTGCACTGGCAGACTGGATACATTATGAGGCAGCTGTGTTGTGCACACATCACACCTGCCTCTGGGTACAAGTGACGGGATGAACAACACACCTGCCTCTGGCTACAAGTGACAGGATGAACAACACACCTGTCTCTGGGTACAAGTGACGGGATGAACAACACACCTGTCTCTGGGTACAAGTGACGGGATGAACAACACACCTGTCTCTGGGTACAAGTGACGGGATGAACAACACACCTGTCTCTGGGTACAAGTGACGGGATGAACAACACACCTGTCTCTGGGTACAAGTGACGGGATGAACAACACACCTGTCTCTGGGTACAAGTGACAGGATGAACAACACACCTGTCTCTGGGTACAAGTGACGGGATGAACAACACACCTGTCTCTGGGTACAAGTGACAGGATGAACAACACACCTGTCTCTGGGTACAAGTGACGGGATGAACAACACACCTGCCTCTGGGTACAATTGAAAGAAACTTCAAATAGAAGCCATTTTATACGTTTTTAATAGACTTATTTATAACAAAACTCAATTTAAAGGATGAAATAAGATCAAGAATACGAGGGAACGAAGCCATTGCATTGCAAGAAAATGTTCAAGCCGGGAACCGACTCCCGACCCTTGCAAAGTACATCTAGGTGGCACAAGACCCACCAATGAGCGAGCGTGAAGTAATGACGTCAACACAGGACCCACCAATGAGCGAGCGTGAAGTAATGACGTCAACACAGGACCCACTAATGAACGAGCGTGAAGTGATGGCGTCACGCAGGACCGCACCAATGAGCGAGCGTGATCTACCACACATCTGTTTTGTGACTTAAGTGACTTCAGTCAGCTCCATGACGCCGCGGAGGAAGGGTGTAGTCGGGTGTGTGCTCCTGTCTGCGGGCAGCCACGTCAATGTTCCTACCCACATAAAGTGCGCCTCAGTATCCACTGATAACATAACTGTTACCAGATAATCTGGAGAGAGCGAGGCTCGAGGATGTTGTAAATGAGCCTCCCTCCCAAAATAACACAAGCCTACATACTCGTCATTATGGTAAGAATGTTTTTTTTTTTATTTTTTGAGATATATACAAGAGTTGTTACATTCTTGTACAGCCACTAGTACGCGTAGCGTTTCGGGCAGGTCCCTGGAATACGACCCCCGCCGCGAGGAATCGTTGTTACAACCAAGTACACATTTTACTGTTGAGTTAAACAGAGGCTACAGTTAAGGAATTGCGCCCAGTAAATCCTCCCCGGCCAGGATACGAACCCATGACATAGCGCTCGCGGAACGCCAGGCGAGTGTCTTACCACTGCACCACGGAGACTAAATGAGACCATGTTGTGTTTCAGCGGGAAAATTGTCAACAAGAAATGGCATTTCTTTATTTTTGTGCGCGTGTATATTGTTTAGACGAGAGAATTAAACTTAAAGGTCTGTGACCCTTTCTATGATTAATCTGTAACTTCGCCTGTGGTGCTGTGGCTGTTCTTTATCTCTTTGTCCCTATGCCGTCTGTGTCCCTCCCTCTCCCCCACCCAGTGGCCGTCTGTGTCCCTCCCTCTCCCCCACCCAGTGGCCGTCTGTGTCCCTCCCTCTCCCCCACCCAGTGGCCGTCTGTGTCCCTCCCTCTCCCCCACCCAGTGGCCGTCTGTGTCCCTCCCTCTCCCCCACCCAGTGGCCGTCTGTGTCCCTCCCTCTCCCCCACCCAGTGGCCGTCTGTGTCCCTCCCTCTCCCCCACCCAGTGGCCGTCTGTGTCCCTCCCTCTCCCCCACCCAGTGGCCGTCTGTGTCCCTCCCTCTCCCCCACCCAGTGGCCGTCTGTGTCCCTCCCTCTCCCCCACCCAGTGGCCGTCTGTGTCCCTCCCTCTCCCCCACCCAGTGGCCGTCTGTGTCCCTCCCTCTCCCCCACCCAGTGGCCGTCTGTGTCCCTCCCTCTCCCCCCCCCAGTGGCCGTCTGTGTCCCTCCCTCCCCCCCACCCAGTGGCCGTCTGTGTCCCTCCCTCTCCCCCACCCAGTGGCCGTCTGTGTCCCTCCCTCTCCCCCACCCAGTGGCCGTCTGTGTCCCTCCCTCTCCCCCACCCAGTGGCCGTCTGTGTCCCTCCCTCCCTCCCACCCAGTGGCCGTCTGTGTCCCTCCCTCCCTCCCACCCAGTGGCCGTCTGTGTCCCTCTCTCCCCAGTGGCCGTCTTTGTCCCTCCCCCCCCTGGCCGTCTGTGTCCCTCCCTCCCCCCCCCTCCCAGTGGCCGTCTGTGTCCCTCCCCCCCCCCTCCCAGTGGCCGTCTGTGTCCCTCCCTCCCCCCCACCCAGTGGCCCTCCCTCCCCCCCTCCCAGTGGCCGTCTGTGTCCCTCCCCCCCCCCTCCCAGTGGCCGTCTGTGTCCCTCCCCCCCCCCCCAGTAGCCGTCTTTGTCCCTCCCTCCCCCCCAGTGGGCGTCTGTGTCCCCTCCCTCCCCCCCCAGTGGCCGTCTGTGTCCCTCCCTCCCCCCCCAAGTGGCCGTCTGTGTCCCTCCCTCCCTCCCCCCCCAGTGGCCGTCTGTGTCCCTCCCTCCCTCCCCCCCCCAGTGGCCGTCTGTGTCCCTCCCTCCCTCCCCCCCCAGTGGCCGTCTGTGTCCCTCCCTCCCCCCCCAGTGGCCGTCTGTGTCCCTCTCTTCCCCCCCAGTGGCCGTCTGTGTCCCTCTCTTCCCCCCCCCAGTGGCCGTCTGTGTCCCTCTCTTCCCCCCCAGTGGCCCTCTCTTCCCCCCAGTGGCCCTCTCTTCCCCCCCAGTGGCCGTCTGTGTCCCTCTCTTCCCCCCCCCCCAGTGGCCGTCTGTGTCCCTCTCTTCCCCCCCCCCCCAGTGGCCGTCTGTGTCCCTCTCTTCCCCCCCCCCCAGTGGCCGTCTGTGTCCCTCTCTTCCCCCCCAGTGGCCGTCTGTGTCCCTCTCTTCCCCCCCCAGTGGCCGTCTGTGTTCCTCTCTTCCCCCCCAGTGGCCCTCTCTTCCCCCCCAGTGGCCGTCTGTGTCCCTCTCTTCCCCCCCCCAGTGGCCGTCTGTGTCCCTCTCTTCCCCCCCCCCAGTGGCCGTCTGTGTCCCTCTCTTCCCCCCCCCCAGTGGCCGTCTGTGTCCCTCTCTTCCCCCCCCCAGTGGCCGTCTGTGTCCCTCTCTTCCCCCCCCCAGTGGCCGTCTGTGTCCTCCCTCCCCCCCCAGTGGCCGTCTGTGTCCCTCTCTTCCCCCCCCCAGTGGCCGTCTGTGTCCCTCTCTTCCCCCCCCCCCAGTGGCCGTCTGTGATAGTGGCCGTCTGTGTCCTCCCTCCCCCCCCAGTGGCCGTCTGTGTCCCCCTCTTCCCCCCCCCCAGTGGCCGTCTGTGTCCCTCTCTTCCCCCCCCCCCAGTGGCCGTCTGTGTCCCTCTCTTCCCCCCCCCCCCAGTGGCCGTCTGTGTCCCTCTCTTCCCCCCCCCAGTGGCCGTCTGTGTCCCTCTCTTCCCCCCCCCAGTGGCCGTCTGTGTCCCTCTCTTCCCCCCCCTCCCAGTGGCCGTCTGTGTCCCTCTCTTCCCCCCCCCAGTGGCCGTCTGTGTCCCTCTCTTCCCCCCCCCAGTGGCCGTCTGTGTCCCTCTCTTCCCCCCCCCAGTGGCCGTCTGTGTCCCTCTCTTCCCCCCCCCAGTGGCCGTCTGTGTCCCTCTCTTCCCCCCCCCAGTGGCCGTCTGTGTCCCTCTCTTCCCCCCCCAGTGGCCGTCTGTGTCCCTCTCTTCCCCCCCCCCCAGTGGCCGTCTGTGTCCCTCTCTTCCCCCCCCCAGTGGCCGTCTGTGTCCCCTCTCTTCCCCCCCCAGTGGTCGTCTGTGTCCCTCTCTTCCCCCCCCCAGTGGCCGTCTGTGTCCCTCTCTTCCCCCCCCAGTGGCCGTCTGTGTCCCTCTCTTCCCTCCCCCCCCCCAGTGGCCGTCTGTGTCCCTCTCTTCCCCCCCCCCCCCCCAGTGGCCGTCTGTGTCCCTCTCTTCCCCCCCCCCCCAGTGGCCGTCTGTGTCCCTCTCTTCCCCCCCCCCCAGTGGCCGTCTGTGTCCCTCTCTTCCCCCCCCCAGTGGCCGTCTGTGTCCCTCTCTTCCCCCCCCCCCCAGTGGCCGTCTGTGTCCCTCTCCCCCCCCAGTGGCCGTCTGTGTCCCTCTCTTCCCCCCCCAGTGGCCGTCTGTGTCCCTCTCTTCCCCCCCCCAGTGGCCGTCTGTGTCCCTCTCTTCCCCCCCCCAGTGGCCGTCTGTGTCCCTCTCTTCCCCCCCCCAGTGGCCGTCTGTGTCCTCCCCCTCCCAGTGGCCGTCTTTTTTTTTTTTTGTAGTAAAGAGGAAGGAGAGGCATAGGTGAAGGGAAGTATAGAAGTGGGAAATACAGTGAGAGGTATGAAAGCAGGCGGGCTGTCCGCCTTGCTGACACGATGTGTGGGTGTTGGCAGCTAAGCTAAGCTGGCTCCCTCTTGTCAGGGAGCTGTGTGTGTGTGAAAGGTTCTTCACATGTTTCACCATATATGGATGTCCATAGATGAATACTGTGTAGCATTCATATATACACAATCCGATGCTTCCACACATGTTATTCTGTTTAAGGCGCTCTATTTTATTATTATTATTTATCGAGTTGTCATACATATTATTTATCGAGTTGTTCATACATACACATATATGAACTGTTCATATATATACATATATAACTCAACTGAGGATTATATACTGTGGGGCGGGGTTTTCGTCCAGAGAATCGAGGCTCTTGGGCCACCAGCTGTGGGAGCGGGGCGTCTCATCTTGGAGTAATCTTTCAAACATTGGGTCCTCTAACATTTCGATGGTGTTCCACACCCTGATGGCTTGGTGCTGCAGTCTGATGTTTAGTGGCTGTATGTTCAGGAGTTCGTGGAGCTCCTGGATTGTCTGATCATATGGTGGATGGTGTTTTGCTGCTCTCCTTAGCGCCTTATTTTGTACTGCTTGCAGTTTCTGCATGTTACTTTTCTTTAAGGTGTGTAGTGGTACTGGGGGATACTCTAGATGCGGCCGAACTAGAGCCTTATATAGGTGGATCTGAATGTTAGTACTGAGGCTTCGGAATCTTCTCAGTTTTCCTAATGCTGCTTTGGCTTTGTTTAGTCGGTCCCTTACATGAATTTGTATCCCTGTTCTATTTATCATAAGTCCCAGTATTCTGCCTACCTCCGCATATTGGATCGGCTGGTTATCAAGGATGATGGGGGTCCGGGTTTCTTTTCGCAATGTGTATTATTTGGAACTTTTGTTTGTTGGTGCTAATTTTCTATTGCTTCTCAAAGTTGTTTAAGAGTTCAATTGCCGCCTTGGTCTTGTCGGCTAGTAGCGGCTTTGATGGGCCCGGTTGGCATATTATGTGGGTAACATCATCAGCGTATGTGATGTATTCTCCATGTTGGGGTAGGTCAGCTGTATATATGTTGAATAGAGTGGGGGAGAGGCAGCTTCCTTGTAGTACTCCACTTTTCAGTTCTATTACGTCACCCAAGTAGCTGCCGATATTAAGCCTAGCAGTTCTATTGTCTATAAAGCTGCAGAGAGTAGCAGTAAATCTCTCAGGAAGCCCTAGTTCAGATATCTTATATTTTAGGCCTGTGTGCCACACTTTGTCGAAGGCTTTCGAGACGTCCCAGTGGCCGTCTGTGTCCCTCCCTCCCTCATCCCCCCAGTGGCCGTCTGTGTCCCTCCCTCCCCCCCCCCCCAGTGGCCGTCTGTGTCCCTCCCTCCCCCCCCCCCCAGTGGCCGTCTGTGTCCCTCTGCCCCCACAGTGGCCGTGTGTGACCTCACCCCTCTACCTTGTGACCCAACCTGTCTTACCCACCACATCCATGTCCCCCCCCCCCCCTTGTCATTCACCAACTAATTAAACAATTAGTCCCTCCCCCTCCCCCCAGGCCATCAGTCACCGCGGGTGACCTCACTCGTCCCGGGCGGTGGTCATCCAAACGGGCCTTGATTTCGGGGTTCAGCGTCCCCGCTGCCCGGTTTCTGACCAATGCCTCCAATTTGGCTGGACTGGTCAACCAGGCTGTTTGACGCCGCTGTTCGCAGCCTGA